AGTTGGTTTTAAATAAAGAGAGCCTAAAGAAATCAGATTATACGTTAAGCAGCAGTACTTGAACTGACAAAGAAAAGAATACAACATTGTGGAATAACCTCTTTGCTTGGTAAATAATGCTCAAATTCCAGAAGGCAAAGTAGTTAATCACACCAGCTTTGTAAATGTAACTTCTATAACAGTTAATGCTGCTTTAAAGATATCTATCAGGCCCCTCACACAAACTCTTAAGCTACACCAGAAATGAATGCAAGTATTCTAAATAGGAAAAATTCTCCTGCAGAAAATTTCCCATTATTACAAAATTGTTAATTATGTTAAGGAACAGCAATTTAGTCTTCTGTCAGTGACAAAACATGAGCAGGACAGTACAGTTTTAGTTAGGTACACCGACATTTACTTCGAAAGGGTTGAAGAGACAGGTTATGAGGGATTTTGTTTTGCTTTCGGCCTGTTACAGCTCCTGGGGCAGCTCCGAGCCGTGCCCCAAGCGTGGCGCAGGCACGCAGTGACGAGGCTGCAGCGCCGCTTGCTCTTCCCAGTGACACCTAAACCTTTGGCCTCAGATCAACGCATGAAATAGGGAGACCTTTGGGCTGGGTTTGGCTGGGGTAGAGTTCATTTTCTTCACAGCAGCTAGTACGGGGCTATGTTTTGGATTTGTGCTGGAAACAGTGTGGACAACACAGGGATGTTTTAGTTCCTGCTGAGCAGCGCTTACACAGAGTCAAGGCCTTTTCTGTTCCTCACCCCACCCCACCAGCGAGCAGGCTGGGGGTGCACAAGAAGCTGGGAGGGGACACGGCTGGGACAGCTGACCCCAACTGACCAAAGGGATAGTCCACACCATACGACATCATGCTCAGTGTATAAAGCTGGGGGAAGAAGAAGGAAGGGGGGAAGGTTTGGAGTGATGGCGTTTTTCTTCCCAAGTCACCATTACGTGTGATGGAGCCCTGCATCCCTGGAGATGGCTGAACACCTGCCTGCCGATGGGCAGTAGTGAATACATTCCTTGTTTTGTTTTGCTTTGCTCGCATGCACAGCTTTTGTTTTACCTATTAAACTGCCTTTATCTCAACCCATGAGTTTCCTCACTTTTACCCTTCTGATTCTCTCCTCGATCCCACCACGGGGGAGTGAGCAAGCGGCTGTGTGGGGCTTAGCTGCCAGCTGGGGTTAAACCATGTCAACCTTCTAAACAGTACTCTTTACTACAACTTGTATGAAAAGGTCACGGTCATCATGAAACAAAGATTACAAACCTTCTTTTGTGAAAAAGCAACCATATTCGTAACATAAAATAAATGTAAAAAGCAAAAAATATTATTTTGACTTATTTAAATTGCCATCATCATCAACAAGCAGAATAGCCAACTTCAAACATTACTATGATATTTTTCATTATAAAGTTATTAGAAAATTTTGGCTACCAGGTTCATTATCAGGTGCATTTGCCAGTGTTTACTCTGACAAGCAAATTAGCTCTGCATTTAAAAGAAGCTGCCTGATCCAAAAGCCCTTTAGTTCCAGTGAAACCCAAACAGTGCTTTATGGAACAGGTTTTTTTGGTACATAGATGCCTAATGATGCAGATAGATAGCACCAACAATTTTCAAATTCCTCAAAAGAGCACACTTCATGTAATTTTTCTAGTAACCTTGTTCGTGTCCTTTAAAACTTTTTTTTTTTTAAAAAAAAGTTATTCTGGTTAAAAAGAAGCCTCATGTTTTCATAACTTTTATGAACTGTCAAAAGAACGATGTATTCAGAGAGGAGATCATAAACTCGTCACAGGGTCTGGTACTCACAGCAGGGAAAATACCTTCACACTGCTGTTGTGAAAGAGAGTCAATTTGACCCCACCAAATTTGAGAACCACAAAAGATAAGAAGTTGCATGAGTCTAGTAATGCTTCAAATACATGTTTTTAAAGCACTGGTAATCTAACGTACAGCCAGACACAATGTGCCTATTGGTATCCACCATGTCACACAAAACTGACCCTAGCGAGGAGCTGAACTTAGAAATAATTTTTAGCTGCAGAGCTGTTACTGAAATGGTTACAACAGCTCTGAGCAGGCAGATCGCTTCACCAGTGTGGATCCGTGTAAGATCAGTGTAAGATCAGGGCCTGAACAAGTTTCTTCCCTTCCTCTGGCCTCAGCTTCAGGAAAAAAACACGCTTCCCCCCCGCCCCAGCCCACTCCGCATGTCAATGGACATTAAGCATATGTCACCTCACTTTTGGAAAGTGTTGCATTATTTAACTTCATTACTGTTTGTTGAATTGCTTTCAACCACTTCTCACCTTGCAAAAAATTTTTAAGTGCACTGACATGGCACGTGCTTAAACTCCACCATATGTGAATTGTATGGATCAGTAGTGGGACATTACTTACGGAAGGAGACCAGGCACGGTGCAGTGGCTCACCTGCCTCCCCCTACCACCTCTCTGACTGAATCTGTCTCTATTCCTCCAGTCTCCAGAGCCCTTGCCTTCCCTGCAGAACAGTGTCTACTCCCTCTCTCCATGTTGCTTAATCCTCCAGAATTCTCTCTGACCTTTCTGCTCAGCCTGGTGGAACTTGGGCCATGCTGACGGCAAAGGCACCCCTGAATCTTCAACCACAGCTGCTGCAGTACTTCAAAGGCAGCTACCACAGCTAAGGATTTAGACTGCAGCTGGAATCCGAAAGCTCAAGGTGGGGTCCCCAGGGCTGAGCAAAAAGAGCAAAGCTCATCTGTAAGGATTAAAATGTGGACAGGTAATGGATCTAAATGGGGCAGGAAGGGTAGGGAAAGGCAGGGAGCGCGGGAGGCCGT